TAACATCTGTTGTAATAGTAGTATCCGAAAGTATTGATACCCTCTGAGGATGATCCATAAGGATCGAAAGATGTAAGGGAGATAAATCCTCAAGTGATAAAACTTAAATAGTCACATTAGACGGTATTATTTTTGCCTTTGTAATTCAGTCCATCGTAGAAAAAATACAGCGTTCCTGTTACAAACACAAATCTGTTAATAAAATATGAGGGAAATGGTCACTGTTTATTCTGAAAATCATATGAAACCCATAAGTACAAGCCATTGGCAAAGTACGGAGTCTGGGTAAACAAGGTGGTGCGTGTGATAATCGCCGCTTGGTAAGTTTTTGTGAACTTCTGTACGAGAGTGGAGGTGGGACGGAGGGTTACGAAAGGATGGTGTTGTGCCCTACAGCCCTTTGTTAGGCCTAGGCAGCTTTTTCAATTTCTTGACCATATACACACTCGCCCCTCGTGGTGAGGGTGTTTGAGTATGCCAAGGACCCTGAGAGCCATACCAGCGGTAGCGTAGCTACTGGCAGGGCCTCCCTTGCTGGACAGGTCAAAGGGTAGGCATCAGACGAAGAGAGACACCGAAAACTGATGCCGGAAGCAGCGTCATCAGCGGCGACTTGAAGCACAGAGAAAATGATGCTCGAGATGGTTCAAGTTCGTATAGCAACAGGCGTGACCAGAGTGGTTTGAACGGCTGTTGTACTGCGATGTGGAAAGCAAATGGAAAAACTACCACATTATCACTATTCCTGGATAGTCTCTTTCCAAAAACAGAAGATCGCATTAAGTGGAGAAACTGTTTTGGAAGAGGCTGTGGACCTGTCATCTGACAGATTACTGATGAATGAATGAATACACACTCGGGACTCCTTGGACGGGGGATCAGCACGTCGCAAGGCCGCTACCTACACACGGAACGACAGAAACACAGATTAATCAACACAGACATCCATACCACGAGTGGGATTCTAACCTAAGATCCCAGTGTTCATGCCTTAGACCGCGAGGCCCCTATGGTTGCCTAATTCATCTAAATACTGTTTCAAATGAAAGCTTCTGATCATCCATTACAAATTAATTCAATAATCGAACTCTGGACATCCTGAATACAAGTCAAAGGGTTACCGCTTCTTGATTTATGTAAATGTGCAAGTTAGTACTTGCATCCGATGCCCTGCCGAGATTCGAACTGGGCATGTCCCGGATACAAGTAAAGACATATCAGTGCTAAGCTAATCTGTTTGTGTGTGAGAGAGAGATGGAGAGAGTATGTAGTACTATGTATGTATGTATGTGGATCAGTAATGAATCCTTGTCTCGAAGCGAGGTCATGCGGAAACGAAGATCACGACTGGAATCACTGTCGGACCCCCCACCCCCACCCATCTTTGTCTATTCAATAACGGCGAATACTCGGAAGTGCAGTTTTGGGACACTTATTCGAGCAGTGGATCCAACCCAGTACTTTCAAATTTTCTGACCACTGCAGCCCGTTTAGTTTTATCTAGACGCTCATGCCTCCCATTTTTAGATTGAAATAAATGTAATCCTTTGCCCTCACCAATTGCTAATGTTCAGTTAAGTGAGTTAACTTGTTGCAGGTTCCTAGCAGACTGTACGGTGACAGCAGGAACCTAAATAGCTCTCTACACCTACAGTAAGCTATAAAATGTTCCTGTACAGTCACGAAAAGAGCAGCTCTGCATACTGTTGCAGGTCCCTATCAGGCTGTACGGTGACAGCAGGAACCTAAATAGTTTTACAGCCTCTCTACACCTACACTAAGCTATAAAATGTTCCTGTACAATCACGAAAAGTGCAGCTCTGCACACTGCTGCAGGTCCCTATCAGGCTGTACAGTGACAGCAGGAACCTAAGTAGCTTTACAGCCTCTCTACACCTACAGTAAGCTATAAAATGTTCCTGTACAGTCACGAAAAGAGCAGCTCTGCATACTGTTGCAGGTCCCTATCAGGCTGTACGGTGACAGCAGGAACCTAAATAGTTTTACAGCCTCTCTACACCTACACTAAGCTATAAAATGTTCCTGTACAATCACGAAAAGTGCAGCTCTGCACACTGCTGCAGGTCCCTATCAGGCTGTACAGTGACAGCAGGAACCTAAGTAGCTTTACAGCCTCGCTACACCTACGGTAAGCTATAAAACGTTCCTGTACAGTCACGAAAGTGCAGTTCTGCACACTGTTGCAGGTCCCTATCAGGCTGTACGGTGACAGCAGGAACCTAAATAGCTTTACAGCCTCTCTACACCTACACTAAGCTATAAAATGTCCCTGTACAGTCACGCAGATTTTCGCCCCGTGTTTCCCTAGCTGCAGCTGTATTTTCCGAAATGATCTGTTTTAAGTCGTACTGACTTGTCGTTACTGTGCTTGGATACAACTACATTTTAACCCTTTAAAGCCCAGTGGTTACTATACGTACCACCCGCTTAAGCATATTAAAACTCTGTCTCTGGCCAAATAGTGTGTTATTTGTGTGTTCCATATAATTCTCACAATAAACAGCGACTGTTTTCCTGAACAGCATTAATCGGCCGGGCTTTGTAGCGGAGAAACAGAGTGTTTCCTGTGAGGTCCGAACTAAATCTTAATACATTGCTTAGAAGGAAACATATATGTAAACTTTTAAAATAAAGCAACAGCCAGATAGGGTCAAATGTTAGGGTTCGCGTATTTAAGCCTGACTGCTGGCTAGAAGTCAGTTTGCACCCTTAAGGTCCTGCGACCGGCCAACTCTACCAATGTTTTACGTGGTTTTCCTCTGTCCTAGAGCAAATGCTGAATTGGTACCAAAATTCCACGTTGCACTGGATGCCTCACATGCAGCCTCCCAGTGGTAACATCAAAATTTCTCCACAATATAGCCCTCCTAACGTTAGCAAAAATTTTACTATAATGCACCCCGTCCAGCGTCATATATTTTTTTTTTATCCGATTATATGCTCCTATACCAGAAGGAAAAGCGGGCACTGCCTGGGAACCTTCAAAATCGGAGATAAGAGTTTTGTACCACCCCCACTTCTTTTTCTTCTCCCTTGAGTCTTTAAAATCTGGAGAATTCGGTGACCCTCCTTAGATTAGGACCCCTGGTTGTGTTGCAGCGGACAATTGCAGTGAAGTGAAGTGAAGTGAAGTGAAGTGAGGTGAGGTAGAGCCAAGTGAGAGCTCGCTGCAAGCAAGATAGAAACTCCTCAGGTTCTGTAAAATGAAACTTCCTTATCATGTTATGAACCATGTAGGATTTGAAGAATTCTGTCTTCTGGGATATAATGATGTGTAGTATGTTGAAAGTCAACCGACGTTTCGGAGGAACTTGTCACCTTCATTTTCAGGGTAAGCAAGCAAGTAACCAGCTTGAAGCAGGTATCAGAGCTCAGCCTGTTACCCTTCAGGTTATTAACCACCAGTTAAGAGCGTGTACCATATGACCAATATAAGAGCGACATGTTCCGTAAAGGTGGAACCCTCCCTCGGTGTCTGATAACGCAGTTCGTCCCTCCATGCGAGATGGAATTTGCATACGCACTGACAGGCCAGGTTAACATGCTGATGTAAGTCAGGATCACATGGTCAGTAGCTGCGGTGCGAGGAGGTGGTGGTGTGCGCACTGATATAATGCATGCCATTCAAGATACACTACTCGCTGAATGGACTGTTTTCCGTTGTCGCCTGTTGTTAAACCAAGGGGAGACGAGAACAAGTACAGGGGAGGGCACACCAAGGAAACTGGCAACCGCAACGCAACCGCAATTTCCGAGAAGTGTTATCAGCCTGAGTTGAACACATGTTATTGAATGGAGCAGCGCAAATTGAGGAAATGGCTGTGCAATTTCCTCAATTTGCGCTGCTCCATTCAGTAACATGTGTTCACCTCAGGCTGATAACAGTTCTCGGAAATTGCGGTTGCGTTGCGGTTGCCTGTTTCCTTGGTGTGCCCTCGCCCTAACTGGCTGTGCTGCGATTTTTTACTACTACTACTACTACTACTACTACTACTACTACTACTACTACTACTGCGTGTTGGTATTCGATCTGTAGAACACAACCCAAAGATGTAATTTCTTCCCTCCAAAGCCATTGATGATGGTGATTGAATTAAATTCTTTATTTATTTATGTGTTGAGCTCAACAGCCAGTGACAGTACTTCACTTATATTAATTAAAATTCAGCCATGTAGCAGCTACGATCCTTTTATCTGTCCTATTTTTTTTCTTATTTTAAAACCATTTTCTGAAAGATCAATTATAAAAAGCGATCTTTAAGGGACGAATTTTAAGCATGCAGTTACAAATAAGCCACTATAAAAAGGAAGTCAACAGATACAGAGAACATTCGATTATGTGTATGGCCAGATTTCATAACTGTAGGACGTAATTTTTCGTAGAAAAGATGCATCTAGGTTTGATGAAGTTAGCGTTGCAAGGATATGGCGTATGATTCACCTTTCACGCAGATCCCCACCACTCGCTCTGTACTTCCCCTTCATGCGCATTTCAGTGGCCAGTGCCGCGAAGTCTGCCAGTGTGTAAACGTCGCAAGATGTTGCCGGACAGGGTGGCAGGGGAAACAGGAAGGCATGTAACCAGGAAAGACAACTTCTATAACATAACAGGTTAGTTTGACTCTCTGAATAAAAGAGGCACACAGGAAATATATTAGGCCTCCGCTACAAAGCTCAACCGGTTAATACTATTTAGGGAAACAGTCGCTGTTTATTGTGAGAACCATACGGAACACACAAATAATATAGAGATTCAGTCCGTACCTTACAGGAAAGACATTACGTCTCCGCTACAGAGCAATGCTGTTTAGGGAAACAGTCGCTGTTTACTGTGAGAACCATACGGAACACACAAATACACTGTGTGGGCAGAACGCGGACTTTTAGTACGTCAAAGTAGGTGTACATATGGTAACCACTATTTTGTTTGGTTGAAGTAGCCCACCAGACTTTTAATAGCTGAACTGTTTGTGTTTCAGAGCGGAGATGTGGTAGCCCCACGAGGCTGGCCCTTGTCGCTGGGAAACAGCGGGGTGATCCTTCACCTGGGCGAGTTGGACCCCACTCTGCTGAGAAACCGCGACTCATACATTTGCGTGCGGGGCGGCAGAGGCATCGACGTCGAGCTCGCCCTCTTCTGGAAGTGGGAGGCAGTCTTGAGCAGTCGAACACTCGCTGTAACGTCGCCAAACTCTGTTATAGAGACGCCCGTCGCGTTGGAGATGGCTGCCGCTGACGACGGTAATGATTTGCCCGGCCTCCTTCAGAGCCTGTTGGTGTCTGTCGAGAGGGCCATCGAGCGAGTGCCTCTCGACGCCTTGGCGTTCCCGTGTCCTCGGTGTCGCGACGAGGATGTGCTCCCAGAGGACACAGGTGTGGTGTGCGCTTGTCAGTGTGTGTGCCAGCAACAGAATCAAGTGGAGAAGAAGGACACTTCCATACAGACCAGTCCCATGTTCGAATTTGTGGGTTCGATACCGCACATTGACAGTGATGAGGAGACTGACGCTACTAGCGAACCTGATGGAAGAATAAGGAACTATGACATGACGTCAAGAGGTGAGTACCTGCTCGGGGTTTCCCCGATCCATAAACGTTATTTATACAGATGTAGTTACCACAAAGTCCATGTGGAGGGGAGGGCTAGCAGGGCCATTTTTCCTTAGTCCCTGGCCCAGAGGGGTGCCTAGATATACTCTCATATAGTATAAGAAGAGTTATAAAACGTGGAGTAGGGATAGCGACGGGCTACGGGATGTACAGCAGAGGTTCGATTCCCGGAAGGAGCAAGAACTTTTTCTGTAACCCACAGCGTCAGTGAGTCCTACATATTGGGTACCGGGGGTGAAGCGGCAGGGACGTGAAGCTGAGCACTCAGTGCCGAGGTCAAGAATGGTGAAGCTATACGCGTCCTCCCTCATATGTGTTCAAGGCGTGATGCTTAATTAATTAAGCCCATGGACAACTTTACCTTATAATAAGTAGGCATAAATGTGGGAATTATGTTTAATTGACTTGTTCTATTGTTCTTAGCCTTGTCTCCATATTCGCATTGATTATGTAATTTGGAATTAAAAAAATACGTCTGCATTGTTGTCCGTCAGTTGTATTGTTGCGTTTCGAGCTGATTAGTCAGGGATAAATTCTAATAACATTAAGTCACGTGTTTATGTATAATAGTATTATATGAGGTGGGGCCCCACATTTGTGACTGGCCCTGGCTGTTCTACACACATCTCAGACCATGGTTGCCGTTACAACCGTTGCCGTCCTTTACCCCCAAGAATATTCCTGGTACTCATTTCTGTTAGAGGCTGAGTCGACCCCAGGGCCATAGTGCGGCTGGAAGAATTGGGTCAGTTGAAAAAAAAAAATCAATGACCTCATCGGGATTTGAACCCGCAACCTTCCGGCTTGTAGCATATTGCCTCAACCAACTACGCAACCGCGTGCCCCTGAGCTATGTAAAATGAACATAAAATTAAAAAAGTGTAAAGGTGCTACACTATCTCTGAATTGTTTACAATTTAATATTATGTTAAAAGCTAAAGATTTCCCCGTGCCGTTCACCACGAAGACATATAGCGGACTGGAGTTATAGCTCCACCATTCTTGATCTCGGCACTAGATGAATGTGAGTGGTCAGCTTCACGCCCCGTCTTGGGAAGAAATGATCTTCTGTACTTACTTACTTACTTACTTACTCATGGACCTGTGCGCTTCTTGAGGAGCCGCCAATTCTGCAGCTACTCAATTTCTGAGCATTTTGAGGAACCCGAAGGTTCATTACCCTGTTCACAAGAACTGTCCTCGGCTCCCTGTCTTGAGCCAGATCAATCGAATCCATACCATCCCATCCAATCCTATTCTTTTAAGATCCATTCAATGGTCTGTAAAAAACTAAAAATAAACTCCGTGGCTTTTTAGTCCGCAAGCGAACTATACCGACCGGGCGACCGCCGCCTGTCGGCGATGTTAGTGCCAACTTTTACGGATAGAGGGTGTCATGTGGTCAGCGCAACGGATCCTCGGTTTTCCAGACCGGAGCCGCTACTTTTATGTTCAAGTAGCTCAGAAATATCCTCATGGGGGTGAGTGAACCCCGTTCCAGACCCACTACTTCTAAGAAAATCTGGTAGCGCCGGGAATCGAACCCGGGACCTCTGGGGCTATAATCAGGAACTCTGACCACTAGACCACAAAGGCGGCCTATGATGTTCTGTAGCTAAAGAGAATTCTTCCAGCCAAATTTGACATTGCAAATTAATTTTGTTCTCAAGGAGTCAAGCCCCACTGTGGTAGCGCGCCCCTCAGGTTGGAAACTACTGTTTAAGGTAAAGTATTATCTTACTTTATAGCGATCACTGGCATTAGTTATACCGGCCATGTAACAAGATATCCGAAGTATACATCATATGAAATACTGCAGTCCCACGAACCGATCCATGACTTGTCTCGTATTCAGGAAGTTTGAAAAGGTCACTCAACTCTATTAACGTGTCCATGGTCACCTTGTTCTTACATTGCGTCTTTTTCCCCTGTGCCCAGACCATTAAACAGAAGAATAACTGCTGCTGTACTGTCTGCTGGCTTCTTTATATGGATATATGTTTCCTGCATAAGTGGGAATTTGTCTCCGAGTTGAGCTCGGTAAGGAAATGAGCTACTTTGAGCATATCACGATCCTGTTGCAGTTTTGCGAAACGGTAAATTCTCAGTTACTGATGATGTGTAACAAAGAGAGGCCTACATTCGATCTCTCACTTTATGTTTGTGGTTTACTGTGTGGTTTATTAACACTTTGAATCCCGGTGATTGCTGTATGTAACATTTGCTGTAACATAGAACTCTGGATTCTGCCCACAGAGCGTATTTATGTGTTTATGGTATGATTCTCGCATTGAAAATCCATTTTTTCCTCCCTAAACAGCATGGCATAGACTGAGGGTGTTAGAGAACAGGGTGTTGAGGAGAATATCTGGACTGAAGAGAGATGAAGTGACAGGAGGTCGGGGAAAACTGCATAATGAGGAGCTTCATAACTTGTACTCTTCTCCAAGTGTTATTAAAATGATAAAGTCAAGGAGGATGATGTGGGCAGGACATGTAGCACGAATGGGGGAGAAGAGAAATGCACATAGGATATTGGTGGGAAAGCCAGAAGGAAAGAGACCACTGGTAAGACCAAGACGTAGTTGGGTTGACCATATTAAAATGGATCTCAGAGAGATAGGATGGGATGATATGGATTGGATTGATCTGGCTAAGGATAGGGACCAGTGGAGGGCTCTTGCGGACACGGCAATGAAGCTTCGGGTCACATTGGCAGCTCCATAAGTTAGTAACTAAACAGCAAAACATTCGTTGCGGAGGCGTAATGTGTTATTGTTAAGGCTTCCTGGGCCATCAGACAGTAAAATTGGGCCATGGGTTCCGCAGTGCTCGGAAGTAAGAATCACTGTTCTGGCGAGGGCCATCACACAGTAAAATTGGGTCATGGGTTCCGCAGTGCTCGGAAGTAAGATTCACTGTGCTGGCGAGGGCCAGCAACAATTTAGCAGTCAGTCTTTAAAGTCAACTACACGACTCCTAGAATCACGACACAGCAAACCATGGGGTTCAGATCTGTGCTGGCTAGGACTAGAAGCGGTTTACCCAACCGACCAGTCATTCTCTAAAGGGTCAAATGTTGCGGTGAATGGTAGGATGATCAGTGGTTGGTGTGGGTATAACCGGCCGCGGCTATTTCATTGTACTTGCCAGCATTCGCCTGGACATACTAAGGTAAACTTCAGGGTAATTGGTGTCCCGACCGAGACTCGAACCGGGCACCGCTCGGAGATAAGTCAGAGACGTTACCTCCTCATCCAGCTTGCTGGTTGATAGCACGTAGTTGGAGCGATACATAGGTACCAACGTTTGGAAGAACCTGCTATTTCTGTCTCAGTGTTCATCTGACTTCCGAGTAGTGAACAAGTGCGGAGTGCTCTGCTGACTACAGAATAGTAAACAAGTATTGAGAACGTGTATACTGTTTGAAAGCAGTAGTGATCACCTCGCTGGGACGACTGGTTAAATGCTCCAATGCGAAACAGACTTGAATAACAGTATGTATTACCATCATCCTAATCTACAGGGGCAAACAAACACATCCATAAACACACAGTACCCAACGAACACCCAATATACCTCAAATGTACCGGGTCAATCAAACATTCTCTACCCTCAAAACATACAGGGTCACCCTAATATACACTATTCACCCATCATCCAACCTCAACCCAACATGAACGTAAATACCTACATTCCGAATCACCCAAATCCATACACAAGACACTACAACCAGGACCAGCAATTATCGCAGATACCACCCAGACACACCACCCCAACAGCGACTACCCCCATGCAACCACTCCAAACGGACACCAACAATTATGATCTACTTGATTATTCAATGTCCAGCGAGGAAGAAGACATGCAGAACAGGGGTGCCCCAACAGATAAACATCCCTGGCAGTATGTTGACAACAAAAGGAAAAGACGCAAAAGACACAACGAAATAAATGTGACCACCGAAGAGACCAGCACATCCAACAGATACCAACCGCTAGAAAAATCCAGTGATAATAAAGAAGACGACCCAGAACCAACCGTAGAAAGACACCAACAACCACAAGAACACAAACCCCCTCCCATCTACATATATGGAGTCACAAACTTCAAAGCCATGACTGAATCTCTCTCAAAAATTGTAGCTGATGAACAATATTACACCAGAACAACCACCGAAAATACAGTTAAAATCAACTTAAAAACCGTTGAAGCATACAGAAAATTAGTCCATCATTTAAGGGAGGAAGGAATAGTCTTCCATACCTATCAACTGAAAGAAGACAGGGCCTACCGTGTAGTAATTAGAGGTCTTCATCCAACCACACAAGCAGAAGAGATCAAGGAAGAACTTAGCGCCAAAGGACATCAGATCAGAAATATAGTCAATATTAAACACAGGATAACCAAAAACCCGCTACCTCTATTCTACGCTGACCTAGAACCACATAACAATAATAAAGACATATACAACATTGAATTCCTATGCCACACAAGGATAATAGTGGAACCACCTAGAAAAAGAAACGACATAATCCAATGCATGAGATGTCAGAGATATGGTCACTCAAGAACGTATTGCACAAAACCATATAATTGTGTCAGATGTGGTCGTGCACATGACTCAAGGACCTGTAAAAAACCAAGAAGCATCCCAGCCACTTGCGCCTTATGCAATGGTGACCATCCTGCAAATTTCAAAGGCTGCTCAGTATATCAGGATCTAAGAAATCTAAAGACTAACAACAATAGAAATTCTTCGCTCATCAGACAACAGAACCAGCAACGGCAAGATCAACATCAATTCGGACTAATATCCACAACCACTACACCGCTGAACCCACAACAAAGCAGAAAGCCCACATATGCTCAAATTGCGCGCAACAATACAAACACATCAGCAGAGAACAACGAAACCGAAATACTAACAACTACATTGACGAGTTTTC